TACCGCCACCCGTACCGGGAGGGCGAGGTGGTGCTGAGCACGCGGGACATCCTGTTCGTGGGCGTGTTTGTGGAGGGGGCGGACGTCAACCAGCTCATCCTCATCGTCAACATGTGCTGGGCCACACCGTCGCGCTACAGCAGCGACAGACTGCGCTACATCATCATAGAGAGAGGGTAGGACGCCTCAAAAAGCAGGTTCACTTAGTCAGCAGAAACCAAAACCCAGCCTGACGGGTTGGATTTATTTTATTTTATTGTTTTTTGGAACAAGAAAATAATGCCGCCCCCTTCTGATGACGCCCTGTGCATCTGCCCATTTTTAAAATGACATTGTTCAGTTCTGTTAGATAAAAACAAGATGGAAATTAGTTAAAATATGTATTTATAATGCAGCTATTGCTGCCATGTTTTGTTGTTTTTAAGAGCTGAAACCAGAAGTTTCAAATATTAAATAAAAAGACTCACATTTATGTTTTTTTCCTGTCTGACCTGAAATCAGAATAAACTTTTTCTGTTTTAGGTCATTTACGATTTCCAATTGTTTCCTTATTTGTTAAATTCCAGAATAACGAGCAAGTCATTTTTTAAGCTGAGTTTTATTACTTTGTGTTGAAATTAGACAAAGATAAACAAAGTAAATGCCTAACAATTTCATTTATTAAAGAAAATAAAAAGCTACCCAAACTTGTATGAAAAAGTAATCACACCCCCAACCTCAGAAAGTTTGGGAGCAGAAACCATCAAATGTTTCTGGTAATGAGCATTTAGCATCAATGTGGATGGCCTTTGACCCTTTCTGCTTTTGCTGAATTGGTTTAATTCAGTTTTCCAACAGGAACTGTCTAGTTAAGATCATTACACAGCATCATTATTCCATTTCAGGCTTTAACTAGGCCACCCAAAGCAGTCATTTTGCTGATCTGAGTCTTTCAGAAGCATAAAAGAAGCCCTATTGTCTTGTGAAAAAGACAATAGTTTGTCTTTCTTACAAGACAAACTATTTCTAAAAACTTAGAATAAATCATTTCTCTATTTTACATATAAAACCTTTGGTTCGTAGAGGCTGATGTATTTTTCCTCCTCCAGGTGTCCGAACACGAAGGACAACACCATCGGCATGGCAGAGAACGGCGTGTCCCTCACCTGCCGCTTCCACGTCACCGTCTTCAAGTTCATCGGCGACTACGACGAGGTGCACCTGCACTGCGACGTGTCGCTGTGCGACTCGGACACCAACGCCTGCAAAGTGGTGAGAGGCTCGAGGAAAGACGCTCGGCGCCAATCGGAGCGCGTTCCGCTTTCCGTTTTAGTAAAGCTGTGTGTCGTCTTGGTCCAGAACTGTCCACACAAAAGGAGGATGTACTCAGAGGACAGCGAGCACAAGGAGCACATCCTGTCAGTGGGACCCATCAGAAGGAGAGGTCAGAAAACCCTCCGCAGGCTCTCATTGTTTCACCAAAACTAACTTTGAGATTAATCATAAACTCCTCTGGTTCTGGAGGACGACGAGTCCAAATCCAGCTGCTGGCTCTTTTTAATGAAAGAAATTATTTTAAAATTCATCTGAACCTCTTATTTTAAAAAGCTTTTACTGTTTATATAAAAAAAATTTAAAAACCAACTGAACTTTAAAAAATAAATGAAAAAAAATATTTTTGAAAATTACACTGCTCAAAAAAATAAAGAGAACACACAAATAACACATCCTATATCTGAATGAATGAAATATTCTCATTGAATACTTTGTTCTGTACAAAGTTGAATGTGCTGACAACAAAATCACACAAAAATCATCAATGGAAATCAAATTTATTAACCAATGGAGGCCTGGATTTGGAGCCACACACAAAATTAAAGTGAAATGTTCCCTTTATTTTTTTGAGCAGTATATTTACAAAAAACTTTTTTCATGTTTTTTATTCAAAATTAAATGAACTTATTAAAATAGGTGATCTGTTTGTTCAGTAAAATTATTTTAATGGTTCAAAATAAAACCTGCCAGACTTTTTTTCTTTTATTAAAATATTTTTTTATTTAAAACATGATGTAAAAAAATTTTCTTTTTTTTTTTTTTTCATGAAAAAAAATTAAAAAATTACAAATGATTTTAAAAGCAGCTGAACTTTTATTTTTAAGGTAAAAAATGAAAAAACTATTAACAACTGAACTTTTTTTCTTTATTATAGAAAGAACTAAAGTAAAAGAAAAAATAACTATTAAAAAACAATGGAACTTTTCTCTATAAATAAATAAAAATTACATTAGAAAAATTAAAATAAATAAAAAAACACTGGATTTTTAAGGTGCATTCAGGTACAACTCGTACACTGCATCCTCTTTGTATCAAAACAACTCCAAAGTGACGTAAACGTCTTTTATTCTGACGCATCAAAGCGTCTACATAACAACCACAACCAGTTTCAGGTGGTTTCATTATTTAATTCATCATTTAATTCATTAACTGAAACCTGATCATCCTTAATTATTCACAATAATCAAATTAAATCTCCAGTCAGCTCTCTGTTTAAAGTTATAAAACAAACTAAAATTAATTCAAGAAATGTTAAAAGAAATGGAAGAAACTTTTTCCGAATATCTCCAATAATCAATAAACTGGAAGAAAAACTTCACAAAATAAACCAATAAATGTTGAAAAAAAGTAAAACCTTGACAGTATTTGTTAAAAAGCAGCTTTTGTTTTGTCTTGGTTTTTTATGTCGATGACATCACTTCCTGTTTTCTCCAGAGTCCGACTGGTGTGAGGAAGACAACGGTGGCTGTGAGCAGATCTGCACCAGTAAGGGAACTGGGCCAATCTGCAGCTGTGTGACTGGGATGCTGCAGCCTGATGGGAAAAGCTGCCGCAGTAAGAAAGACACGACAGTCTGCAAACATTTAGTCACTGAGTCTGATCTGAAATGTCCTAGTTAAAGATTGAAAATTAATTCCTTTAGTTCTTCAACAAGCTTCCACATTTATTATATTTACCTGGTTAAACTGTCGCCAAAGTTTCTGAAGAAGGAGTGACTCACATCCTGTTGTAGAATAAAAACTAAATATTACAGGGAAAAAAAACAAATCTACTGTATCTTATATTTCAGATCTTATTTATTTTTATTAAAATATGTAATTGTGTTACTTTTCCAGAAAAAACAAAAATATTTTTTAAAAGTTTCTGCTTTCCATGAATCGCTCACAGATATTTTTGGACAGGTTATTGTAATTGACACCTGCAGGACGCAGCGTTTCCATGGTAACAGGGTGGAAAAATAACGCTTTCCTGTGGGAAAACATCTCAGCAACGCAAATAATCTGCTCTGCAAACATTAATGCATACATTTATTAGGCAATATAACATGGAAAAAGGCAAATAAAGTGTTTACTGAGAACATGCCATCTACTTTTTCTTGCATTTATGCTGCATTTTAAATGACTTTATGTATATCTGTTGCCTCAAAAAAACAAATCTGAGCTTGTTTCACTCAGAGAATGGAGAAAACTTTACAGAAATAAGCCATCGCTGAGTTCTGCGTGTTTGTTGAATGTGTGAAGCATAAAATCTCAATCTATGAATATCTGGGGATTATTTGCATATCTGATGGTTTTGTTCTGGTTTTGGTTCTGCAGCTCTGAGCTCGTCCTGTAAGGTTGCCCCTGCTCTTCCTCTGCTGAGCACCAGCGCCGTAATCTCCATCATCCTCACCCACTTTAACTCCTTCATCGTCTCCTAACAGCCACAGCAGCCAAACACCAAAAAGAAAAGACTTGAAGACGAGAGGAAGAGGAATTTCTGAGTGCAGATGTGAAAATAGCTTTTTGTAGAACGCTGTAAAGCTTCTGTTCTTTAGATTCATCAGGATTTCTAATTTAAAGTGTGTAGAGGTTGTTTTTTTTATGTTTTTGCAACGTTTCTGTTTTCCTTTTTACAGAAGTATTGTGTTATAAATAATCACCACCAGATGGCGCCAAAGAAGCAAATGTCTTCAAATCTAAACAGTGGAACATTTGAGATAGATTAAAAGTGAAAGTCAGGGAGAGATTGTGATTAAATTATTATAAACTACATTTCTGGGTGAAATAAAACATGATTGGATAGTTTCACAGTCAGAACTGTAAGAGTAAAATCTGAAACTGGCCTTTTAAGCGTTACCTCTGGGATAACAACCGCATCTAAAATAAATACTCATTGAATTGAGTCACAGAATGACATTTTTGTTGCAATCTCTTTTTCATTTTATCATTTATTCATATAGTTTGTGAGAATTTTCTTGCAGCATCTCCAAGCTGAAGTTCTGTTGAACTCGGAAATTTTGACTTCCAAGTCAGAAAAATCAACTGGAGTACCCTCCCAGATTTCAGACTGGGAAACTAGGAGCTACTCCGACTCCCCCCAGCTATGACTTGTAAGGCTAACTGTGTGTTTCAATATGGCCGCTCCTCGCATCAACAGGAGTAAAATGAGGTGGAAACCTTTTTATTTTCCAGGACACACGTCTTGTGTGTCTTTAGTTTAGTTTAGCTAGTTTAGCTAGCAGTTAGTTAAACTAGCTAAACTAAACTACTTGAACTGATTTAATTTAGCTATTCTAGCTAGCTACAGTTAGTTAAATTAACATAGTTTAGCTAAGCTTCTTTAGCTAATTATGACTACATTATCTAAACTACCTACAGTTTACCATACCTAAACTCCATCAACTGTAGCTAGCTTACCTAAACTGTAGCTAGCTAAACTAGTTTAGCTAAACTAGTTTAGCTAGTTCCATCATCCTTATATCATCACACTCATATTTAGTTTAAACTAAACTAAACTAGCTTAGTTTAGCTAAGCTAGAAACTACAATGGCTCTAATACACCATCATACTTTTCTGCTCAGTCCAGAAAAAATGTGGAGCCACTAACAATACCTGACATTTGCAAAAAAGACTTGTGTAGTTAAACAAATGTAACTAACATTGTTTATGTAAGCTAGTTTAGTTTAGCTATAACTAAACTAGTTCAATTTAGTTCACTCTAAACTGAACTAAGGAAAAATGTTGTTTGTAATGGAAAGTAAAGTTTAAAATTATGTACGTAGAGGAAAACAGTGTGTGTATGAGGGTCGCCATGTTGAAGTTTCAACTTTTTAACTGAAACGCTATTAACTGGTTTGACTTCAAACCCAGGTCCAAGTTACAACTTCAAGTGTAACAGGAACGCAGCATCATTCCTAACAGAAAGTCATGGTTGTTTTGAAGCATTCTGATTAGCTGACAGGTTTATCTTTTGCTACACTGCCCCCTATGGGTTTGGCATATTTACAACAAAACTCAGTGGTTGTACTAAAAAGGGTGTTTAGTACAACCAGCCCCGTAATCTCTGCTGATCTTCTTCTGAAACTGGTTAATCCTCCAAACAAAAGCTTATAGATGACAGACAGGCTCTTCGTGTTAGTGTCCCATTTCTTAATGGAATATTTTAACCACAATAGCGGTGGCTTAAAAGCAAAAAGGCCAGAAGGTCAAGTCCAAACAACCAGATTCACCCCAAACAACAACACTGCTCAGAACAGCTTTAAGAATTATTAGTTCCTCAAGTTTGACCTAAATAGTTATTTAGGTCAAAATAAATTATTTTTACCTAAATCCGTCAGGTCATTTTTTCTTTTGCAACAAAGTTGTCCACTGCCGGATTGAATGAATCACAGCTTTCTGCCATTTCCCGACAAGGAAAGATATTTCTGAGCTTGAGAAGTCAAACATTTGCTAGAAAAGTATCAGAAACTTTAGACTAACCTCAGAAATTTTCTAGAAAGAAAGAAGTGCATTTCTGAGTTTCTAATGTCAAAAAATTCAGAGGTTTTGACAGTCATTTCAGAATTTAAAAAATACATTTGCAAGGAAATTTTTTTAAAGAAAATCTCATACATTTTCTTTAAAAAAAGGGAAATTTTGAGTTTCAGCAGTCAAAATACACTGACATAATTACCCAGTCTTAAAACAAAAGTGAATAATTTTTACAAAATATCTACACCACAAAATAACATAAAAAACACCAATTTCTTTCTTTTTTATTTTAGAATAAAGAAAAACACAAAACCATTTAAAAAAGAGAGAATTTTTCTTCTGTTTAAAAATAATAAAGAAATGCAGATAGTTTCTAACTTTTTAGTGAGTAAAATAGATCTAAATCAATATTATGAGTGATTTTAGTTTTTGTTGGACAACAGGTTCAAGTGGCAAAACAGGCTGCAAATAATGCAAACTCCAAAACGTAGCAAGATAAAACAAATACGACAGAAAAATACTGCAGTCACAGGAAATGGAAGCAAAAAGGAAAAATGGCAAAAAATAACAGCAAGTATAAAACTGCAAATTTGTTCAATAAAGTAGAAGTCATCCACACCACTGGAGGGCGACAGCACTTATGATCAGACCTTCAGGAAATACGGGCTGTCCAGACAAAAGCTGGATGAATAAAGTAAACTTTATTAATCCAGAGGAAAATATGAGCTGCTCACAGAGCTAACCATCCATAAAAATATATTTGAAACATATTTTTTAAAAATTAAAAACTACACAAAAATATATAAATACTACAACAAAGGTAACAGACAGAAGCAATCAATTTCCCTTTTTTCACTCTTCTCCTATTTATGTTATGACCAGCTCTTTACTCCCCCTAGTGGCCTGGAGTTTGCAGCCATGTATGTTTTTTTGTTTGTTGACTTTTTGCATCATTTTGTCCTGTGGTTGCACTGTTGCGTTTGTGAGTTTTTGGAGTTTGCAGTGTCATTCTGTTGAAGAAATTCAATCTAATTATTCCACGAAAAGTTGAAAAATGTCTAAAACCTGCCACTGTTACAGAAAAGTATCCATATTTTAAAATATCTTGTATCATTTTTAGCCAAAGTTGTTGGGAGCCTGCATAGCTGCATTATATCCAGGAGGAAAAACGTTCTGTGAAAGTTAATGAGTGAAATATTTATGTGTGAGGAAAGCACCTTGTGGAAATAATAAGACATAAACATAACCCAGAATATGCTTGAGTTTTGCTTCATGATGCCGAATTTTGTCGCCTCTCTGAAGACTTTCTGTAGTTTCCCATGAAGGCCGGTCATCTGATACAGAGGGAAAGTAAAGTCCTGCATTCCTAACAATCTGCCCGCTTGTCTCCTCCTCACCTTACCAACCTGCAGTGACGGATGAAAGTTTAATTCAGTGGCTGAGCCTTCCTGCTGCTTCCTGTGTACAGATGTACAGTCCTCTTCACTTTAAAACCTGTTTTTTATTGTTTGAGCAGAAACAACTTTCCTTCAATAAATGTTCTGAAAATCCATACCAGTGTCTATTGTTTTTTTTATTCGTCTGATTATGACACCACCGCACACCCAACCCCAGCTGAGTCAGCAGACATTCATTCATCTATAATTAAAGGCTACATTTTTTAATCCACTCCCAGTTTCAAACATGTAAAACAGGCCCAACATCAGCCTCTGTCATGTTTTGATCAATTTGTCTCTAGGATACTGTTGCCAGGTGATAAATCAATAAAAACCAACAATTTCACACCTTCGGAGCAGAAGTAGGTCACGTTTTACAGCGATGGGTGGCGTCTGCATGGCAACGATATGATTAAAGAAGGATAAAGAGATGAACTGAGAACGACTGTACAAAAGAAAAACTAAATTTGAAGATGTTAGGAATAATTTTATAAAAAGTTATTGGCTGTTTCTTGTCAACACAAACCTCTGCTTCCTTTCAAATCAATTCATAAAAACTTTCATTACCTGTTGTACCAACATGTAGTAACTACATGTTGTCATAACACATATCAAATTTCTTCTAAAAGTCGGTGTGGCTAGTGCAGAAATGTTCTCCAGGAGCAGCCAGTCTCGCCATGAATCTAGAGAAGCCTCTGACTGAAGACTGTTTCTACGCAATTTGCAGATTTTTCTGAGTCTGAAAATTGTTTCATAAATTTTCAGAGGCAGAAAAATCAACAGGAGCGCCCTCTGAACTCCTCTGAAGTCCTCCAGTTACCACCATTACGGCTTGTAAGGCCGGTTTTGCTTTTCAATATGGCCGCTTCTCATGTCAACAGCAGTAAGCTGTGGTGGAAATATTTATTTTACAAGATATATGTGTAAGAGTGGGACAGAAATCAATGCTACATGTAGCATCTGCTGCTAACTGAACTAGTTGGTGTTTGGTTATGGAAAGTAAAGATTCCAAGCTAAATTGTATCCGATTGTTTTTAAAACATCTGCAGTCTGAACAGTCATGTCGCATTTTATCCAACTTTACCGTCATAATTCTACACCAGAAGAAGAAACATCAGAGCGATGCTGTAGTTGCAGTTGTAAACCATTCACTAAGAAGTCTGATGGTGGTCGATTTAATAGCTGAAATAAATGGAAAGACCCAAACTTCTTTGACTTCTTTGACTTCTTTGACTTTTCCAACAACATTAACTGGAACGCCTTTACCTTGAATTTAGCATTCTTCCTGCTCTGAGTTCCACCTTCCAAGATAAATGGAGCGCAGCAACATCCTCATGACCGCCATGCTAACATGCTAACAGCTCCATAACCGGTTAAACCTCTGTCGGGCCGTTTCATAGAAAGATGTTGGAGTAGGGGATAAGATGGATTGAAGACGGTTTGAACGTCCTCCTTTTCTCTGCTTCTCAACTCCTCTGGGGCTAGGGGTCAAAGTTCAGGGATTATTTTACCTTTTTGAGATGCTAATCAACTATGTCACCTTCCTCGTTTCAGACCAAATAATGGCTTTTGCTTTGTCACATGAGCTTTCTGGCCAAAAGCTTCGCTGTTTCCAGTAAACACAAACCTGCATTCCTGTATTTCCAACGAACACAAACCAACCTGGACCCGAGTGGAAAAGTAATCACACCCCAAACCCAGCAGCTGGTCCATCCAGCTGCCATGCTGCGGTTCTGATACCTGCTAACGAGTCGCTAAGCTCACCCTGGATGACCTTTGACCCACTCTGCTTTGCTGCACCGATTTAATTCAGGCACAGTGGAAGCATCCAGCATCACTGGTCTTTACGAGGTCAGTTAATGCCGCACCATTACAATTAGATATCCAGACTTTGACTAGACCAGATATAAAATGCGTTTTTTTTTTGTCTGGTGTTCTGTTGGATCATCGTTCTGCTGCAGAACCAAGTTTGGTAGAATTTCATAAACTGATGGTCATCCTGAAGCAGCCAAACAGGCCCAGAGCATCACACTGCCACCACCGTGTTTGACTGCCGGTATGTTCTTTTTCTGAAATGGTCTTAATTTTTACCTCTTTGTCTCTCCATGGTTTTAACCATGATCTTTGACCTCAACTGCATTTTGTACAAACTCAGCTAATATTTTTCTGATATAAATACATTTTTTGATTATTTTAAATATTTATAGGGCTTAAGCAAATCAATTTAAAAGAAGGGATGAATACTTTCTCACTGCACAGAAAATATTACCATTCATCAGTCATTGGGTTAAAAATTTACAAAATATTGTTTAATCTTCTTATTGGTTTTAGTTCTGTTTGTGGATGGTTAATATTTGTTCAGTAGTTTTAACTTTTCCTGTTTCTGATGCCAATTATAGGTCACCACAGTGAAAAGGTGAGAAATTAATGAACTTTCTGACACAAAGTTTGCAGGGTGTCCAAACTTTGTGTCACATGGGCCAAAAATTAAATTAAATTAAAAACTTTCTATTGTAAGAGTTTAACTTGTTTGCAAGAAATTAATCCTAATTAAAAACCAAAACCTCCATCTCCATCCACCACCTGTGCTGTGAAGCCAAAATGTGTCACTTAATTAAATGAGGCCATTAGAAACTGGGTCAGTTTGGTTAGTAGTTTATAATAACTGGCCTTGAATCCATAGACAAACCTTGTTGCTAACCAAAACAAAACCGGAGGCATTTAAAGCGCTGAACTCTTGCATTGTGGGTAAAAGTGTCTTAGAAAAGTTTCAATGCTCTGCAGGAGCGACGGAAACTTCTGACTGAAAGACGAGCTCAATGGCTAAAACTGTGCCGGTTGTTTCCATGTTGAGAAATTCTCCGAGGCACGAATTTCACCGAACTTTCCGACTTTCCACTCCCTCTCGAGGTTTAGGAAGGTGCGTTTCAGGGGAACGTCCAAAACTCATAAAGATTTCAGTTTACCGAAGTGCTAAGATCCTCATATTCAATGAAATGATGACTGAAGGGAGAAAAAACATTGTTCATCTTCCTTTGTTGACGAGAACCTGCAGAAATCCCAGAATAATCAAGAAATCCTCACAGAAAGATTTCTCA